GGAGGACGCGACAGGCAGCGTCCGTTAAGAAACGTGCCTGCGCTGCAGGCCGAGGAGAGAAAGAAAAAAGGAAGGAAGGAAGGAGGGAAGGAAGGAAGGAGGGAAGGAAGCGTTCCTAGGTGGGAAAGCGGTAGGCTCTGTGTGTCAGCAGGCTCACTACCTGAAGAGTGGTAGGAAAAAACAGAATTATAATGAGATGAGAACTGAAACGATAAACAGAAACACGTAATTACACTGCTATTCTTTGTAACTAGGTGTTTTGACACTTCCTGGCAGCTCCTAGTAGAAGACAATGTTGTTTAACTTTTAATTTGACAAAATTATGCAACTCCTTCCTGAAGTGTTTGTGTTTTGATTTGCTGAACGCACTCCCTTTACCACCGAGTGCTCTGTTCACTGCTAATCTCTGCATTGTTTTGAAGCCAGTAATTTGATTGTGACGGATTTTATTTTATTTGCTGTACCGAGGTAAATCCATGTAAATCACACTCTCGGGAGTGCGCTTCCCTTCTGGTTCTTGTATTTTCTTCCAGCTGTAGCTGCTGTTTTGACCACTGAGGAAAAAGCCATTTCTGTAGGTGAGCGCCTGCAGAAGAACCAGCTGCTGTGACGGCTGCACTGATCCGTGCCAAAACTTGGTAAAGCGAGCAGGAAAGAGTTAAGCGTATTCCCAGGCTGTGAGCATTTGGACCCAGACCAGCCCGTTCATTCCCAAGCTGCCGAGATCATGGGCTCCTAATTATTACTGCTTGCAAACTTTGGGGCTGTCCTATATTCCGCATAATTAACACTGGACTGCTGATCGATCATCAACAGTACTCCTCTCGCATCCCGATCCACAGTAACCCCCGTATTTTGGGAGCTCCTGCACGGGAACGGCACGGAGCAGAGCCTGGCAGACCTGGGGCGCAGACAGGGTTTTGTCGCTTCTTCCTTGGCGACGCGTGGCACCCTCCGCTCCCCACACCTGCGGGTGGCACCGGGAAAGGTGCTGGCCGGCTCCCGCACGCCGTGTTCCGTACGATCGTTTGGATTCCTTCGCTTAAATCAAAGCGTCACCTGCTGTTTTAATGTTACACGGATGTGTATGTGCGTGTGTGTGCGTGCGTGCTTCCAAATAAAAAGGGGAAGAGGAATAAAGGGAAAGGGATTTTCGGATGGGAGTATTTATCCTAGCACTGAAAGGAAGGAGTCAGTAGATTTCACTTCTGATGGTGAAAATGATATTCCTTGTCCCTTGGGACTACTGGCAGGTCGTGAACTTTGGGCAATCTCCGCAGAATCCCTAATGCTGCATCCAAAGTGCTGACTCGCGTTCCTGCGCAAAAAGCAGTGGCAGGGTAGCAATTGTTGGCGGCCGCGGCTCCGTCCCTCCCTGCGCTCCCCTCCCTCTTATTAAACAAGCTCCTGTCTGGGGGGCTTCTTACGCTGCTTTTTGTTTGCTCGCTTCTTTCTTTCAGTTAGCCGGATCAGGCACCTGAATGGCTTCATTGTTTGGGCTTCCTCTTTTCCTCCTCCAAACGTAATTTTAATTCCTGGATTATTTCAGAGCTAAATAAACACCAGACGTGTTTAGTGTAAATCCAGCAAGACCGATCTGGATCGCTCCTGCCCCGCCACTCGCATGGCAAAGGAGGGGAGAGGCGGCAGAAGGTGAGCGCCGGAAAGCACGCTGCGACCCTCGCAGGGACAGGGCTGCCAGAGATTGGAGCTTTGTTACACTGCCACCGTTCAATCTATTTTCCCTTACCAGATTAGATTGATACTGACAACTCGTTCCCTGTGAAGGTGCCACGGCGTGGCATTTATTTGCATTTACATTGCAGTTCTCTTCATCAATCAGCTCTGCAGAGATCACCGCAGCTGCTGGCCATATTGTTGCTATGCTGCCACTTCATCCTTAAGTGCCGCTTGCGTAATGGTACAGTACGTGCCCATGGCCAAAGTTTAAATCAAAGTTTAATCATTACGGAAAAACAAACATATTTCCGCGACTGTGTATCTTGCAAGTAAAAGTAAAGGCAGTTTGGTCGGGTCACAGATGCTAATCTCTGCTCTTTTTCTATTCACAAACTATAAAGGGAGTTGACAGCACCTGTAAATGGTTTTCTGAGGCTAGATTGTATCTAAGGTGATTATTATTTACACCCACTATAAAGACTGCTCTTGTGAGCCAAGAAGTCTGTTCCTGTGAGGTGAGTGTTACCAAAAAAGGGCTTTCTTGCAGGAAGATTCAGTGGAGCGAGGAGCCAGGGTGAGGGGCGGTTCAAGCACACAGAGTGCCTTGTCATGTGTTGGGTTCGTATAACCCGGGGACTGAAAGACAGTCGGGATATGCTGCAGTTCTGCATTCCCAGACAGTCGGGATGAGGGGAAAGCCTCGGCTCTCTCAACCTGAGTTTTTTAAGCAGGGGCTGACCTTTTCCCACAGCCCAGTTCTGCTTCTCATATGAAGATCAACGCGGGGCACTAAAAGGCTAGGAAAGGAGTTGACCTTCCGCTATGAATCAGAGCGAACACATGCTTGTTTAGTCAGGTAAAGTCATATTAATGTAGAAATCCTGCAGCCATCGCTAAATCACTGTGGCTGGAAGCAAAGATTTGTACATTGACCAGCTTTCATCTGCCTTACTGGAAGCTTGCTTCTGCCAAGCCTCTATAATGTCCACAGTTTAGGTGTGAAATTTCTAAGTGTGAAAGCCACTCTCCTTTAGCGCATCTTCCTCAGTCCATTTGCATATAGGAGACTCACATAATTCAAGACTTTTCTATCTCTACTCGCTGCTTCTGCAAGCTTCCCCTGGAAAGGAGTCACTTTGTCAGAATTGATTTTCTTACTGTATTTTATCTGCTCCTACCATTTCTGTAACTTCAGCGTATGCATTTCATTAAGCCTTCCCTGTAAAATAATTCCGCTCACATACATATCAAATTCGTTTGCCAGCTTTATAGATTATAACCAGACACATATAAAACGTCTTAGACAACTAAAAATGGAAATGAGACGCATTGGCGACATGAAACGAATTATTTAAAGCGACAACTTTTTGTCGTGTGAGTTTTGAAACGTTATTAACCGACGACAAGGCATCTTTCCTGCTGGGTGCTGCATCGCTGCTGGGCGTGCGCCTGTGTGTCAGGGAGCCGTGGCACCACGCCACGGAAAGCCCGAGTCCCTTTAAAGCAGAGAGGGAAACCTGTCACGGACGGGTTTTTCGGCGTTTCTAGCAACAAAGGAGTCAGGTACTGAAAGAAAGAAACCCATCCAACGCAGCCCAGCTGGGAGAGGCTCCGCAGCCGCCGCGCCTG